TTCTCTGCCTTGCCCTTCTCCGCCTTGCCCTTCTCACCCTTCTTCGGTGCCATGGCAAGAGTTTCTGCACCCAACAGTCTGGTCACTGCCCGACCCTGGGAGCCGGCAAAAGGCCAATGAGCAAAAATTGAACACAGTAATTATGGCACCAGCATCCACTTGCGACACAGCGGGTTGAGGGTGAATTTTGGACCACGGGGACGGAACATGTTCTAAAAGCTAAACCAACCTGCCTAACCTTCCTGTTTGGGCCTTGCTGTGAGCACACTGACCAACGAAGTGTCTATATATTCCACACCTACAGAAATGATGAGGACATGTTTGTTGCTTTGCTGCACCCTCTGTGTTCCATTTTGCGGTTCAAGGCGACCGTCATGACAAGATGACCGGGCTCAAATGATGCCAATGCGATTGGCCACGTCCAAGGCATCATAGTCTTGAGTCAAACGCACGTATGCCTTCTTCTTCCTGAGTCAAAAGGTATGCACCATTGAAGAAACGCGTTGAATTCAAGGGTCCCTATGAACCCGTGGTCATGGCAGCCTTTCGAATCCTGCAGCATTCATACAGCGAATGTGCATGTATTATTGCATGCCTAGGCACCCATCAGGTCGAATGAGGGTGTTCACCTTGGCACACTTCACGTCATAGAGCTGTTTCACAGCTTCCTTGATCTTGGGCTTGGTGGCCTTAAGGTCTACCAAAAACACCAACGTGTTGATCTCCTCGATCTTCTTCATGGCAGATTCCGTAGTCACAGGGCACTGGATGATGCGGTACTTGTCCAACTTGTCCCCGCGAGATTCCACAGACTTTCGAGGATACTTGGGTTCTCTAGATTTGATCAAGGTCTTTGGCCGATAGAAGCGGACCTTGGTACGGATCTTCTTCACCTTCTTGCTCACGCCGCCCTTGACAGCCTTCGCGGTCTTCTCCGCCTTCTCTGCCTTGCCCTTCTCCGCCTTGCCCTTCTCACCCTTCTTCGGCGCCATCGAGCTAAGAGCACGCCCTTCCCTTGTTCGGCCGACTAGAGCCGCAAACTCCGCTTAAGGTAGCGCAGCTGACGCGGGTAGGTTCTTTTTAGGAAGAAGTTCGACCTCTGCTAGTAGGGTTCCTGTCAACTTTGATGCCCCATGTCACCTTCCTTGCCGACCAGAACCAAAAGGCATCTTATCCTGTCGCGCTCTCTGTGCAAGTGCATTTTTGAACTACACCAGGCCCTCGGTTAATCTGTCCAAGGTCTGCACACACTCAGCTGTTGGTCGTGCCATTCTTCCGCTATGTTTCCACTCTCCTCAGCCTCAACAAGCAAAATCTCGTGCTCTCTTGCACTTTCAAATTTCCAGGGGCAACAAAATTGAATCAAATGATGCTTCAAAATCTTGAATTGGCCAGAACACACGTCGACTTGCGACCCTCTGATCCCACAATTTCTCACAGCTCATTGAATGAAACAAGCAAGAAACATCAGTGTACGATCTGCGGTTAAAATCAACCTGTCTTGCTTCTTGTTTCTTGCGCTTCTCTATGTTGTCAATTCCGCAAGTCCAAGTAAAGAGATGTTCCTTCTCAGAAACTCCCAGCCTCCACTCTGAGCTCACCAATCTCTGGCAAGTCCTGGGCAAAGCCGCGGGCGCCGCTCCTTTTCAACCTCCACTAGGACATGCGTGCTTACCGAGGCTGCTAGGCCACCTGAAGTGTCTCACTGTGTCCACTGACTTGTTCCACAACAGTTTCCAAAATGGACAGAACAGGAACATCCTTCAAACACGCAATTGCCCTGGCGGCCAGGCCTTGGCGAGTTCAGCTTGTAACGGCGGCTCATCTGTTTTTCGGGCGACGGATGTGAAGGTCCGCATGGGCTGAGGAGAGGAGGCTAAACCAACTGTTGGTGGATGTGAAGGATGTGGCATCGCGGCATCGGCTTGCCATCAAAAACATCAGCTTACAAACATCCGAGAGTCTCAGATTGTACCAGGCCCTGTGCCTGCCACAGTGGGGCCGTGGCGTTGCTTGCGGCGCTCCCGGTAGCCTTACGGCGCCCTACCCCGCAAACATGTTGGGACCGGGTTGAATCCATGGAGCTTCACACATGAATTTGTAGAAGGTGTTGGATAGAAGGCAGCCTGCTAGCCGCTAGCCCAACCGGGAACCGCCAAGGTGAGTATGCAGGCGTTAGCATTTTGTGTACAAGGCTACTCGGGTCGGGGTTTCTTTCTCAGAGTGGGAGCGGTGGACCCAGCTATAAATATAAACAAGGATGCTACAGGGGCTCCTGGCCCTACTGCTAGGAGTACAGGACGCTACTAGGGGCTCCTGGCCCTGCCACTGGGAGCAAAGGACGCTACTAGGGGTTCCTTGCCCTACTGCTAGGAGTAAATGACGCTACTAGGGGCTCCTGGCCCTACTGCTAGGAGTAAAGGACGCT